ACTGTCCCTGAAATCACTTGGCAACTTTGCTATAATGTCTTGAGGTCATGTGATGACCCGGGGCGTGGCACAAAGGCAACACATAAGCAAGAAGAGTCCCTTTAGTACCTCCAACTTTGCCCCCAATGTCCAGGTTACCTTCGGCTGGAGAAAAAACTCTCCCAAGAACAGTCTAAGTGGAGGAAATTCAGTCCGAAAACAAAGTACATACAAACTGTAAATAAAAATCCAAACACAAACCAGGCTGCAGTAATTAACTTGACAGCGCAGGATAAGGAATTGCAGACTTGAAAGGCCAATAAAACACACACAGTTGGGAAGACGCCAGGACCCCAGATAACCCTCGGACAATACCAGATAATTCACGATTTGCTCCCAACAACTTTGCTGTGCGCAGCCTCCCTTTTTAAACACTGTGTTCCCAGCTGTAGCTAATGAAGGGAATCAGGGCCCTTTCCTCCCCCATAAGCCATGCAACTCATGTTGCTCCCTTCTTTGTTCCTCCCTGTGTGCCTTAGGATGAAGACGGGGTGGGCCTGGATCTTCCTCTGAATTCCCTCTGCCTTGCTCTACCTCTCCCTGCTCTGCCCAGCCGGAGTGTGCCCTTCCCCAGTTTCTTCCACAGCCAACGGAGCCACACTCCCACTCCCTGTCAGCTGCTGGCCTCCCCCTCGGAATCAGGGGTATGACAGGTCACTCATGATTGACATTTGCAAACTTTGCTACCAGCTTCTGGTAGGCAATGCCAATGGGGAAGTTGGCAGTAATTCACAAGTTGTGGTCATATGATGTCACCCATACCAAACCAAAGTGGTTTGCTAAATGACTGCAACAAAAAGCAATGTTGTGAGTCAGGCAAAATTTTAAGATGTCTCGCTTTATGACAGCGTTCCATAGCGATGGTGTTTCCAGTCCCAATTGTGAATATTAAGTGAGGACTACTGTTTATTCTACTGATGATGCCAATACAAATTTTAGTAAGATCTTAGTAAAACCAAGAACAGACACAGAAGACCAAAAACCAGCCAAAGCAACTGCTGCTTCTTACTAAATGAATATGACCTAGATCAGACTAAAATATTTTCGCAAACACTGATCAGCTGAATAGTTGATTTCAAAGAAAGAGGAAGAATTTTTTGTTAAACCACTAACCCAGATAATATAGGAAATCCAACAACGGCTTATTTGTGCCCCTGCAGATAAACTGAAATGGCAGACTTTCCTTCATTACAATCTTTCCTTTTTGCCAAGACCCGAATAATTTGGGAAAACAAAATCTTGCCAACTCCGCTCTGCGGGGACGCAGCTAGGGCATGATCCACAAGGTGATAGTCATATATTAACTTTAAAAGCATGTGGGAAAGCACATGAAATGCAAAGTGTGCAAACGCTTAGCCCTTTGGAATGCAGCCACAAACATTGGCCCATCCTTGAATGTCACTTGAAAGTTATATCTTGATTATCAGGCAGGTAAACCAGGAAATCTTGTATGCTGGTTCTCCGACTGGGCTGTATTTTCATCCCGTTGCAGATTCTACAGGGAGACTATTAAGCTAACCAACCCCAGCACTAACATAATTTTAATTGTTGTTAATAACTGCAACTTAAAAGAGTGGTTCTTCCAGCTTTCTAAAGGACCTGGGGGGATGGGGGAGGGAAAGAACCCTTTCTAGAACTTCACAAAGTAAGACTCAAAATGAAGAAGGTGGGTAACAGTTCCAGAAAGTTGAGCAAGATGGGAAAGACTCTGAAATGTGATGTGTTCGTTCTAAGATTGAGAGCCAGTTTGGTCTAGTGGTTAAGGCAGGGGAATTCTGGGAGTTGAAGTCCCCAAGTCTTAAGGTTGCCAAGTTTGAAGACCACTGGGTTAAGGCATCAGGTTAGAAAGCAGGAGGCCATGAGTTCAAGTCTCATCTTACCACCCTGAAAGCCAGCTGGGTGACTTTGAGCCAGTCACACACTCTTTGCCCAACCCACCTCACAGGGTTGTTGTTCTTTTTTGGGGGGGGAAATAGGAGGAGGAAGGCGTGTTGGCAGGATATAAATAAATATAAATAAATGGGGAATGAAGCCGATGGCACAGTCAAGCTAAGCCTGCAGCAACATGCATTTTAATCAGTTTGTTTATTAATTGGGTGTTCTTTGTCTCCTGACAAAGGAGAGCATGGATAGTTTGAACTGCAGACACTCCCAATAACCCAGTGGAGTGATTGACAGAAGGAAGAAATGGGGATACAGTGGGAAAAAGAGCAAGACCACATGGACCTCACTGTCCTGGACATGAATCAAAAGGTGACAGCAGAATCCAGAAGACTGCCCCTAGGCTATTCAGACTACTATGATGCCTAGAATGTTGGGTCCGATTAACTTGATGGGCAGGTTTAATCTGGAAACGCTGGTATGCGCATCCAAGAACTTTGAGAGAACGTTGTGAAGGCTTCCTTTCTGAGAAGCAAAGAAACAGAAGGGGATTGACTTCGCTTGCTGAAGTCTTACGTCTTTTGGAACAAGAGTCTAGTGTTTGGGCACTCTCAAAGCTTGATCAGGAAGACCCTATATCATTCTGCACAAATAGCTGTCCAATTTCTTAAAAACCTCCATGGAGTACCCACAATTTCGGGAGGGAAGATTAATTGTTCTTATTCCCTTATTTCTCCTTAATTCTACACTGGATCTCTCTTTAATGAGCTTCCACCCATTACTTCTTGTCCTGCCTGCAGGTGCTTTGGTGAGTAGGTCAGCCCCTCAAATATTGGAAGATTACTATCCTCATTAACATTTATAATGTTATTGTTATTCCCTAAGACAAATCCTTACGATCTTCATATGACAGATATGACTCACAGCCATTTTTTAACTCAGAAGCTGAAACCTAACTAAAATTTGAGGTATCTCTGATTTTGCAAAATAATCCCTATCTGCTTTTCTTCCATTTTGACCAGTAACTACAGTGGGTTTAATCTAAAGAAGTTGGGCATTTACCTTACCTGGTTTTTTTCCAGCAGTTTTGTGGTTTAGGAATATGTTGGATAAACCCAGAACTTTTGGTTGATTTACACATCATGGTTCAGATAATTTGAGTTTGTCTGCTATAATATGTGAGGCGGCCTTTGGGGGTTCCTGGCATCTACAGCTAGTGGTAGAACAGTCTGCATGATTGATGGCAGGGGAAATCAGTCATTTACACCTGTGCTATAGGTCCTCTGCATATTGCCTGTTGGGTTCAGGTGCAATTCAAAGGATTGGTTTTGGCATTTGAAGCCCTTAAAAGAGTTGTCTGTCACATACCTGTACAGGCACCTTTTCAAGGTAGATCTGACTTCTTGAGTATGATCACTGCAGATGAAATGCTGTGAATTCCCATTTAATGAGAAGTGAGGTACCAAGAAGCACCTTTTCCTGGAATTTAGATCAGCAGCTACTTTGGATTTTTTTTATTATTATTTTTTTTTTTGAAAGGCACGCAAGACGAAATTATTTTAAAGTAGTTAAAGTTACTCTTTGCTGATAGGCAGCCTTTGATTATTAAAACAATAGCGGAAACCGACTTGATCTTTTATTGTGGGTTTTTTTAGGGCCATTGTTTTTGTGCATTTATCATGGTAAACTGCCAGAGATATTTGGATTCTGACAGTACATAGACATGACAAATAAATAGTTAGACAATTGGATTTTTTTTCCTTTTTGGACTATTAATTTTCACAGATTACAAAACTGAATTAATTCATATGCTCCAATTATGGCAAGCATATTTAACCTACCATTTTCTAATATTCCCTGCAAGGAAAAAAGTCCTTTTTTAAAAATACTTCACAGTAATTCTCAATTTATAACTATTCATTTACTGTTTGAAGTTACAGCAGCTCCAAAAAAAAAAGTGACGTGTGATTGTTTTTCATACTTATGACCGTTGTAGCATCCCCACGGTCACATGATCAAAATGCAGATCCTTGGCAACTGGCTCATATTTATGATGGTTGCAGTGTCCTGGGGGTCATGTGATCCCCTTTTGACAAGCAAAGTCAATGGGGAAGGCAGACTCACTTTACAACCGGGTTACTAACTTAACAACTTGCAGGGCTTAAAAACTCTCAGGAAAGGTCATAAAATACGGTAAAAATCACTGAACTGTTGCGTTTAGCAATAGAAATTTGGGGCTCAATGGTGATCGTAAGTCGAGGAATACTTGTGCTTCATATTGAATGTGGTTTTTTTTTTTTTAAATTAAAACCTTATATTGACGATATTGTGATTGACATAGAAAGTCTCCCTGCAGTTTTGAAAGCACTGAAGAAGGTAACCTTAATTGCATTTCAGGAATGATGTAATGCAGGAGTGTCAAACTCAAGGCCCGCGGTGCCTCTGCCCAGCGAAAACAGGCTCCCAAGCTCCGTTTTGGCTGGGACGGCCTCCTGCGACCCTGTGCCAGGGAAAATGGAGCTGGGGAGGGCCGCACAGGTGCCCCTGACATGAGTGACATCAAGCTGGCCACACTCACCGTGTTCCCCCGGTCCTCCCTCAGGTTAAACACAATCCTGATGCAGCCTTCAATGAAATCAAGTTTTGACACCCCTGATCAGTGGTGGGATTCAAATTTTCTTACTACCGGTTCTTTGGGCATGGTGTGGCTTGGTGGGCGGGGCTTGGTGGGCGTGGCAGGGGAAGGATATTATAAATTTCCACTCCCATCCCACTCCAGGGGAAGGATACTATAAAATCCCCATTCTCTCCCATCCCCGCTAACCTGCTTTCCAGCTCTGTTCTCCTGTGCAGAGCAACAAAAGAGCCAGCCAATCAGCTGAGAGTTGGGAGGCAGAGAATAGATGGGGGCGGGGCCTGTCAGAGGTGGTATTCCAAACTACTCAAAATTTCTGCTACCGGTTCTCCAGAACTGGTCAGAACCTGCTGAATATCACCTCTACCCATGATGTAATGTGTTGGGGGTAAGGAAGTATTTTATTGCTCCTATAAAATGGTCTTGACTCTTTTTTTTTCCCCAGACTGAATTCCGAGCTGAGCTGTCGAATGCTGGGAGCAAGCTCATAGTTGTTGACTTCTCTGCCACCTGGTGTGGGCCATGCAAAATGATCAAGCCTTTCTTCCATGTAAGTAATTTGGATTCCTTCAACATTTTGTTTATAATAAAGCACGAGGAGAGCAGGATGTTATAGATGGGGATTCCTTAGAAACCAAGGTTACCTGAAAGAGATGCATAAGAATTCTTGAACCTAGAAGGGTTGAAATATTTATGGGCCTCTGTTCATGCTTACCTTGTGAGATTTGTGTGTGCTTTCATGAAAAAGGGGTTATTCTCTTTTCCAAGCTGTCAGTAACAGCAGCACTGATATATAGAAACAGTGGCATGTATCCGTCAAGTTTACTTGGCTTTGTTCGTCAGGCTCACATATGCCGTTCCAATCATAATTCATAATTCCTTAATTCAGATTAAAACAATCATCATTAGGTCCTGTGCTATTACTGTCTTATTGGTGTTTTAGTAAGGGCCCTTGGAACGATGCCGAAGATGACCAAAACCTCTGGAAAACACTCCCTGTCCAATCTGCTCTGCTACAGATTAAAACAATAGTACAACAATAAAAGTTAAATCAGTAAGATATGATTTCCAGAGTGATGCCACAGCTTTATTAGGAGCCGCTCAAAGGACATAAAAGTATATGCAAGTTTCAGATGTTTCAGTACTCTTCAAGTACTGAAAATGTTAACCAAAACAAATAATGGGGAAGGAACTTTTTCTTACAAAAATTAGACCACATGTTACATTGCTCCAGTCTTGTAACAGAGTTATAATTAAATTATGGTACAAACCACAGACCGGAAGGCTGAATGCTTTTTCTTTGCTATATATGTGAGGCAGGCTTATTATAAAAAATATGCATGTATGTGTTAACCCTAATAATTTAGAAGTTATCTACTTATATGTGCCTAATGATATAAGTGACCGTGTTAGAAGTGACAATACTTAACCAGGTTATAATGGCTCATCTCTAAGGTAAAGACAGCAAATCCAAATGCTACATCGATCAACCTTTTCCACTAAAAGCAGCCAGATATAATTATTTTATTCTTTTAAACATGGTCAAACAAGTCACTCTTAAATACACTTTCCTTAGTTTTTAAAATTATTCTTTAACCCCTTCAAAAAAAAAGCCCCAGATGTAGTTGTTGATCATTTGTGCTTCAAAATGAAAAATCTTTTAGAAATTTAGCAGATCTCTTTTGTATCAATAAGTAAAAAATATCCTTTTGTTTGTCACTTCTAAAAAAAAGTCCTTCCAAATCTTAGCAGAGGTGTTTTGTATATGCAGAAGAGAAAAAAAATTCAAATCAATGAACTTATTAATTTCTGTTCATCTTCTTTAGAGAATAAATCATCCATCAGACCCATTTGTATTATATTTAAATCCTCCTTCAAATTTATTTCATAGATGTCCATTGCAGCTCATTTTTATTTTACAAATTCATAGAACTTTACAATTTTATCCAGGATTGTATCATTCTGTCCAAACACTTGGCTGAAAGGTAATTCAAAAATTTGCGCTAAGGACTTCCATTTTCTTCTTGTTCTTATTCCCTTGTTGTACTGTCCAAAATGTAAGCATCCTTATCATTAAAAAAAAACCTTAAGCAATCTCCATTTTTCCCATGAGAAAATATCTTCTAAATAATTTAGAAGTATAATTCTGAATCCTCTGGCCCCTTAATCTATTGTTAACTTTCCAAAATCCGTACACTAATCATCCTTTTTCTTCATAGTCCAAAAGAATTTGTATATCTTTTTAAAAAAATTATATCAAACTTACACCGCCTTTTAAGGAGATGGAAACTCATTCAATGAATCTAGAACAGCGGTCGCCAAGCCACTGGTGGTCCGCAAGAAAATTTTGGTGGTCCACAGAGAAATGTCACTCCCAGAGCAACCCCCAAAGCAATTAATCCAGACTGCGCAGGAACACAAGGCTGCGCCGCCCACATGGCCCGCAGGAACCCACCCTACCCGCTCACTCCTTACCTGGCAAACTTGCCTGCTAAATTGCTATTTTTCCTTTTTTTCCCCCCAACCATCAGCTGTTCTGCTGTGCTGGGAGATTTAGATTAGCTAGAAAGCAGGAAACTGTTGGTTTTGGGTAAAAGTTGTTCTTTTTTAATTAAAAAAAATATCAATATTTATATAAACATTTATAATATTTACATACGAGCCATGCCCAGCCAGTCACATGACCACCAAGCCACACCCACAAATTAGGCCACGCCCACAGAACTGGTTGTTAAGAAATTTGAATCCCCCCCTGCCTCTGTGTGCTTGTCTGTGTGTGTGTGTGAGAGAGAGAGAGAGAAAGGGAGGGAGGGAGGAAGATTAGAACTATCTCTATCTCTCTCCCACCAACATCAGCAAGCCACCGTCAGTCAAAATTCATATTAGTGGTCCCTGGGATTTAAAGTTATGCGTTTGGTGGTCCCTGAGGTCTAAAAGATTGGCGACCCCTGATCTAGAAGAACCTTGCCAGTTTGAAAACGTCTTAATCTTTCCAATATAAAAATGTTTTTTTAAAAATCCAAAAAAGTGATTAAGATATAAGGCTTCATTGAGCCTATGTCCATAAAGGCAATTTGGGAAGAGTGAGCTTGATGTAATCCTGATTTCTAGTCATTCTGTTCGTAAGGTGACAAAAAAATATGGCATTTTCCATGGACTACTCATGAGGATCACCTGTCCAGTGTCATATTATCCTCCTCTCTCCAGCCCTTATACTTCAGTAGGCCCTGCTATAATTTAATTAGCTTTGTGGTTCCCTTA